TTGTTTTTTYYTTTTTTTCTTTTGAAACCAAGTTTTCTATAGCTGTGGTAGCTCATACTTAAGAAAAAAACCCCAGAAKGTGGACAAAGTATGCAACTACACCAGGCAGGAAAGACTGATGCATCATGAAGGGAGAACAGGTCAGAGGGTCCTTATAGCCAACAGTCCCTTTTACAAGCACTGACGTTTTCCCTCTCACAATCCCCTTCTCTTATAAAGAACAAACCATACTCCTGTGAGGACCCGCTGTGGTGCAATCCCACAGGCATCTCCAGGGAGAGGCTGAGGGGCTCGGCTGAGGGCACCTTAAGCCATGGCACACACTCTCCCAGCACTGGGAGCCAGGCACAGGGCGGCTTGGCCCAGGCTGTCGGGTGGATCCGCTCACATTTGTGCCTGTCAGCATCACAGGCGGAGCACAAACCCCACCCCTTGTCATCACCAAGGCAGGAGTACTGAGAGGTTTGGAAAGTAACAGTAAGCAAACAGCTCGAGAAAGCGAAAGGAAGCTGGAGGGAAGCTATGGGAAGAGTTACAGTTTCCGTCCCGGGAGGAAGYAGAACATTAAACAAGCAAAACCTCTGGGCAATTGTTGCCATTCCCTGTAAATAACTTTTTTTACAAGCAGAGGGAGAGGGAGGACAGAGGTTGAGGGTAAACCCAGGGACATCACAATACACTTCCTCCTGGAACCTCGCAAGTTTGCACTGTGAACAGGACTCTGCTTCTCTCCACCACTGCAGTGGGCATTAGCCTGGCTTTAGGAGAGGTTTAAAATATATACACCATGATACATACAGCAGAACAGATTGTAGTCAAAGCCTGTGGCAGAAACAAAAATCAGAACTCAATTTCTTTGCTTTTCCTCAAAATAAGCACTATTGAAAACAAGTCCATATGGATTGGGGCCACTGTAGCTTTTAGCTCTGACCAGGGAAAACACAACCAAACAGGATGAGGTAACAGCACAATTCTGTGGCATTGCCCCCCTTCAAAAATGGAGAAACTCTAGGGCTGAGAAAAGACTAAAAGCACAAACATGCTTGAACTCAAAAGTAAAATCCTTGCCTGCTGTCCTGCCCTATGATACAAAGGACAAAGAGAAAGGGCATTTAAAAGTAATGATTAAAAAAAACCTCATATAATCATAGCAGCAATATGCCACCCACAACAGGCAGCATCACAGCATCAACATTTCTGCAAGCATCACTAACACAACCCTCTTTCCATTTGTACCTAATACAAAAAAATCCACCCTAATCCAAAAAAATGCATCTGGCATTCCACTTGAAGCTCATTCAAAGTTGGATGAGACCAATTTTGTTGGTCCACAGATGGGGACCTTTAGCAGGTAAGGCACTCCTCACAGCTCRAAGGGTTCCTGTATGAATAAGCACCGGAATGATCGAGGGCTAATGTTTGCACCAAGCTTCATGTACTTCCAGGAGTACCATGAAGACCTGAGCAAATGGACACAGGGAGTACATAACTGTGTTTTACATCAGCAGCCATCAGGACTTAGATTTTTCCCAAATCCAAGCTTTCTCAGCATCAGCAAGCTCACTGTAAGCAGCTTCTCTCCMAGATGCTTGTGTGGAGTAGCACAGACTGTGCTGGTGTTCACAGCACCTGGACAACAGCAGCACCACACTCGTTCATCCCATCTCAGGGTGCCCTTGAGAAGGCAGCAGCAYAAACCCACCCTGCACTGTCTCTCCAGAACTACAGTTTGGTATCTTTTTCTGTGCTGCTTGTTTGCAACTTTTACCCTACAGCTTGATAGCATTATTTATTTACCTGCTAAAGATACACGACAAGATATACACAGAAAGGGTTTTGCCCCTCCCTAGGAAATATCTCCCTGTAATCCTTTGATCTCTCCTTTCTACTCTCCTCAGACCACAGAGTTCATYTACTGACAACTTTTCAGCAGAAACTCACCAAGAGCAGCTTAGAATGCTGCTTCTACCCAAGAGAAGCTTCCTTACTAAGATATCACACTGCTCCCAAGTCAGAACAGAGCCAGGGTGTGGAGATCACCTCAGCTCTTGTCTGACAGAAGCAACAGAGTGAGGAAAGCAACAGAAGTTGCACTTCAGCTCTCAAACTGGACTGTCTGCAAATGTTTAGTGACCTCACTTCTCAATGAAGAGAGCTCAGATGCAGAGCCCAAAGATTTTTCATTCCAATGAAACATTGTTATACGAAAATCACTGCTGAGACTAAGATGGTTTAAAGCATTAGGATTCTACTAGACTCCTTGCAGACATCCACATAACGGCAGTTAGTAAAAATATCTTCTTTTACTTTTTGATGATTCTTTTTTTTCTGCCGAGATACAGATCTGGAAGAGAACTTYGTTTCATCTCTGTGCCAAGGATTGTAGAGTAACAGCTTGCCCTACTCTARAGGCCATCAGCAAACTGCAAATCACTGAACTTGCATCATCCTGCCTGGTGAGTGAATGAAATGATGAGATTACAGCCTCTCCTGACCACGCTGTACGTRGCCAGCAGACCAGTTACTCTGAATGACAACTGAACTGGCAGCCAGTGTGRTTACAGCCCAGCTTGACCAGTCCTGAGCAGTGCTACAAGATCCCTCAGGGAGCATCTCTTCAGCTGACTTGGGGAACAAATGSAAACCCTCTTGACGACTTCCAGAAAATTCACCATGAGAAGCAAGGCCTAGAATACTCAGATCACAGGGAAATAACTTTCATTGTCATAGCAAATAGAGTAATAGGGGAGAATATCTGACAAAAGGTACCAGGTGTGTTTCTAAGGAGTCCATCAACAGTGCCCTATAGCCGATATCCCTCTGCTGCCAAAGGATKCATGGATGGTGCAGTCCCACCCTGTGCCAGCCAACCTGACTGGGGCTGCCAGGCTCCCCACTCTCCCACGCTGGTACCACCAGAGATGAAACACACGAGCGTGGGATGGACCCTTTTTCATTCTGATGGGTTGGCTGGTTTTTGTTTTTTTTTTTCTGGCTAAGACTGACGCTTAGGCAGCCACTTTGCCAGGTCCCCCTTTCCCAAGAGTGTGGTGCCAGGGCAACAGGGCGTTGGGATGGGGATATCCTGATCCAGCGGCGCCTGTGGGGGGGCCTCCACCAACCAACCAGCCCGGCAGCCCACGCTCACAAAATCCCAACCTGGTTTGGGTTGGAAGGGACCTTAAAGATCMCCTCGTTCCATCCACTGCCATGGGCCAGACCAGGTTGCTCCAAGCTCCACGCCGGCCGCTGCCGCTCTCCCAGGAGGGCAGGAGGGCCGGCTCCCGCCTCGCTCCCCGGCCGGGCACCCGCCCCAGTCCCTGGCCCCGCGCCTTGGGGAAGAGYCGGACCCGCCGGCAGGGCCCCAGGGGTGAGGGGGCCCCAAGGGTGAGGGGGTCGCGGCCTGGGCCCGGTGGGGCTCCCTGCCCTGCCCCGCCCCACCCCGGGGCCGCTCCCTCATCCCGGCGCCTCTCCCGGGACYCCGGTGCMGCGCCGGACCCRCACTCACATCTGGTACTCGTCGATCGCCTCCACCAGCTGCCCCCAGGCGTCGAAGTCGGTGCCCTTCCTGAAGCTGGCGCCCCAGCGCTGCAGGAGGCTGCGGGCCGCCTCCGACATAGCCCCAGCGCTAGGGCACCATGCTCACCCCGCGCCGGGGCACCCACCGCGCCGGGCAGCCGCTCCCGCCAGCCCCGCGCCGCCGCCGCCGCCGGCACCGCCCCGCCCGGCACAACCCAGCCCAGCCCGGCCCCGGGACACCCGAGCGCGGCGGCGCCTCCCGCCCTCACCGCACCGCCCAGCCGGGGAGGCGGCGCCGGCCGCGCCCGCCCGCGCCATCGCTAGCGAGGCGAGAGCGCCCCTTCCGCCCCGGTACCTGTCATGGCGCCGGTCACGTGCGCCCGGGCGGGGCTGGGCGGGGCCGCTCCGCTCCTCCTTCCGCTCCTCCCTCCGCTCCTCCCTCCGCTGCCGGCCGTGCCGCCGCCGCAGGCCCGCCCCCAGGTAAGCCCCGGCGCCCCCCGGCAGCACCGCGGGCGGCTCTCGCCCCTCCGGGAGGGCCGGTAGCGCGCCGGCAGTGCCCGCTCCCGCCGGCGTTGGTGACGTTCGGGGGTCCCTCCGCGGGAGGGCTGCGGGCTCCGGCCGCACCGCCGGCCGCTGTCCCGGGGGGAGACCCCACGGTGGCGGGGCCGTTGTTGGCGGCGGCRGCGGCGGCCCGGTGACCCCGGTGGGGAGGGGAGCGAGCGATGCGATCGGGCGCGATGGGGCGGTGCCATCGGCTCTCGGCTGGCGCTGCCTGCGGGCGCGTGACGCAGCGGCGGGAGCGGCGGGGCCGGGCCGGGGTCCCG